CAGGAAAGCAAAAAAGAAAGGAAGAAAGATCAACAAAACAATAGACAACTACAAAACCGGAAAAGGATTACAATAGACAACTACAAAACTGGAAAAAGATTAAAAGACTGAAATTTGAGATAGACTATAGCAAATATATATTTTACAAAATGACATAAACGTAGTATAAACTGCTATACATAGAACATATAGACTTATATATAGAATGAAAAAAATGTATGAAATAATGTAAATGCACAAATATATGAAGTCATAGTTAAAAAAGATTTATTGGTATAGATAAAACGGACACAACAGATAGGTAACAAAATGTAATGTGTTGCAAAGATGTGAAGTTTGTACAAACAAAATAAAATTTATTAAAAGTTAAAAAAAGAAAGTTATAGATTCTTCCATTTCTCCAAGTCCAATTTAATTTGTTGCATTAACTTTGTATAATTGTCATCTTTAATTGTTGCACATCTTGCTGTTAAATGAATTCCCAAATATTTCACTTGCTTTACTATCTGAAGATCTTTGTTAATTTGTTTTTCTGCTTAACTGTAAGGTTCTTGACTAATATTTTAATTTTTTCTTTACTTATTTTCAGTCCTGCAACTTCTCCATACTCCTCTATTTTACCTATTAGTCTGGTTTCTAATGGTTCCTCTAATATAAAAACCAGGTCATCTGCAAACGCTTGTAATTTATAATTTTCTTTTTTTATTTCCATTCCTTTTATTTCTGGATCTTGCCTAATATTTCTAATTAACACTTCCAATGTTAGTATAAATAGCAGTGGAGACAATGGGCATCCTTGTCTTATGTTTTTTTTAAATATAAAAATTATCTATCAAGTCTCCATTCACAATCACTTTTGCTCTCTGTGTTGTGTAAATTGCCTTAATTGTATTTATAAATTTTTCACCAAAATCCATGCACTTTAATTGTTGCATCATAAATTGCCAGTTTACATTATCAAAGACTTTCTGGGCATCTAGAAAGATCAATGCCAATTGCTTTTCACAGTGTACTTCATAATACTCCAACGTATCTAAGATAATTCTCACATTTTTAATTTGCCTTTTAGGTAAAAACTCATTTTGATCAGGGTCTATGAACTCATTCAAAAATCTCTTAAGTCTTTCAGCTATTAGTGTAGCAAATATTTTGTAGTCTGCATTTAATAAGGATATTGGCCTATAATTCTTTATTTGTGTTAAATCTGAATCTTCTTTCGGGATTAGAGTAATATTAGCTTCTGCCCATATATGTGATATCTTAGCTTCTAACAAAACTTCATTATATACCTCTAACATTGACAAGCTTAATGTATCTTGTAGTTTTTTGTAGATCTCTGCTGATAGGCTGTCTGGACCTGGTGTTTTATATTCTTTTCTCTTTTAATCGCCTCTACTAGCCTCTACCATTGTTATTCTTTCATTTAGCATATTCTTCACTGTTTCAGACACTCTTGGTAAGTTAGCTTTTTCCCAAGTATTGTATTATTTTTTCCTCTGAAATTTTTTCATAGACATATAACTTCTTGTAAAACTCCTGACTTATCTTCTTTTTATTTTCCATTTGGTGGTACATTCCTCTTCCTGAAGTTTGCTTACCACTTTCTTCTCTTTCTCCTTCTTCAGGTTATAGGCTAACCACCTTCCTGATTTCTCCCCTCACTTCCTGTCCCTCATCCATGTTAAAATGGTGATTATAAAATTCCATTGCTTTATCCAGTAAATCCAGTCTATATTTCTTATCACACCAGGTAACTAGTATTCCTCAGGTATCAGCCATCTGAAATTTACCTGAATGTCAGGGTTCCAGAAAACACCCCCAATGAAATAAAACTCTGAGGCTAGATATTTTGTTGTGGCTGTGTTTCTACCGCTCCCACAAAAAAAATATGTCCCAATTTCCCAGGCTAAAATATGTGGCAGTCAGGAAGAAGAAAAAATGGCACTGATATTTAATCAACATTGTAGTAAAAAATTGGTATCGTTTCCATAGGTCTCTTACCCTCTAAGGGACCTGTTTCAAGACCACCAACTGTTTTCCCTTATATTGTAATGGTTTGTCTCTTGCTTTGTTAAGTATTTTCTCTCGTCATTTTTTTCACAAATCTCATATGCACTTCTCTTGGAAGTTTGTTTCTCCTCGTTTAGCTCGTATGTATTCTAAGTTTCATCTATCTCTTCCTCCATCTCCTGCTTAACAATCCCTAACACATTTGCCAACAGCTCATTAATTATGTCTGGTAGATCTTCCCCTTTTTTCTCGATATTCTGGAATCTTAAATAGTGAGCTGCTTTTTCTGTTTCTAGCATTATCACTGTATTTTCTAGGTCTTTATTTTCTTGTGTCAATCTGATCAATTTCATCAACTTTTTTCTCTGCTTGTTCTGATTTTTTTCCATTTTCTGAATTCTTTGCTCATTTTTTGTTATCATTTGCTGAAAGTTTCAAATTTTTCATCCATATTTTGTATTTTTTCTTTCATCTCTCCCATATCATTTCTCACTTTCCCTATCTCCTTCTAATCTCATTGTGTTTTTTGTCATGGCCTCCTATAGCGACTGAAACATTGCTTGAATTTCCTTTTGAAATGTATTTGATTTATCTTGCTGTAACATGCTTTCTATTGACCTCTGATTGGATGGACTTGATGGTGTAGAAGATGCTTTCTTTCCTATTTTGGTTAAGTTTGGAATACTTGATATCCCAGTAGCTAATATTAATTCCTTATTTTTCTTATTTCCCTTTAAATAGAAATGCACCCATCAGCCCTACTAACAGCCCAACGGCTATCCACAGGCAGCCCCCCAATACTTCAATACCCCACATAGCCAATGAGAAAAGACCAAGTCACAAGTCCAGTTCACTCAGTTTCAACGAGTCTTCAGTGTCTCAATCAGTTAAATTTATAATCCAGAGTCAATCCATTCAAACAGTCCTTTGTAAAAGAAATCAAAAGGAAAGATGCGAAGAAAGAAAAATATTTGTATTTAAGGACACCCGTTGTTTTTTCTTGTCTTCTGTCAGTATTTGTAATTCGCAAGGCCTGCTGAGTCTCCCAGCCTTTGATACTTTAATAATCAAAAATCTTGGATTAGTTCCAATGTTTTTTCCCAGGTTCTCAAAAACAGCTTTATCTTATTCCACTATTTCAGTCAATCAGTCAGTCAGGGATATTTATAATCCATAGAAATTCAAAAGAAATTCTTTGCTATAGCCACCATCTATCTCATTCCTCCCATGTTAGTTTCCAAAACTAACTTCAGTCAGTCTCTATATACAAGGTGCCACAGTTGCCAAAACAAAGTATTCAAGGTCAGTCTTTGATCTAGTTTAGTCACTTCCAAAGGATTTCCTTTATCCTAGACTCCCCACCTCCATACTAACTTTAGCCAGTAGATGTTGCTCTTGTTGTATTTCTCAATTTCTACTGCAAGTTTTAAAAGTAAAAAAAGAGGGAGGAAAACTTCCGCTCACTGTAACCAGTGGTGAAATTCACTTCCCCCCACTACCGGTTCTGTGGGTGTGCTTGGTGGTGGTGGGGGTCATGTGACTGGGTGTGACCAACTTGACATCACTCATGGCAATCCACCAAGCCATGCCCACCAAGCCATGCCCGCAGAACTGACAGAGACGTTCGGCCTGCTAAGTCTTCTAGCATTCAACCTGGCTGCATCTCACCTCCTTCTCGTGTTTGCTCTGTGTGTATGAGCCTGAGAAAGAGTAGAAAAGCAGCTGAATGCTACAGCAGAGAGAAGCCAAACCTTTCTCCCTCACTTCACAGCAGAGCTATTCAGAAGGCAACTGCCGGCCAGTCTGTCCCTTTATGGTCCATCCCCTCTCTCCCAGGATCATACCTTAAAGACTGTGGCCAGCGGCTGCCTTCTGAGCAGCTCTGCTGTGACTGTCCCTCCATCTGCTGCCATTCTCCTGGTACCGGCAGACATTGGGGTGCACATGCCAGGAGAAAGGCAGTAGCCAGAAGGACAGTGTCGCAGTATAGCTGCTCAGAAGGTAGCCAAAAATTACCAGTAGCGGTTTCAGGCTTCTCAGGGCAAAAAGCAGCTGAGCCTCATCATGTCTCCCCCCCCCCCAAGGTGTGAAGGTAGATGAGTGAGATGGGAGGCAAGCGGATGGTGGCTCCGGAGCAAGGCGGGAGCCGGGAAATGGTGCATTCCCTGGCGAAGGTGAGCAGCGGCTCCGGGGCCTTGGGGAATGGTGCATCCCTGGGCCCTGACCCAAGGATGAGTGATGCACTACTTACTTTTGGTGAGCTGAGCAGAGGTGGCAAGGCAATTAGCTGCGTGTGGTGAAAGAAACATATATATTGGGCGCGGGGAGCAGTGTGTGGCCAGAAAGGGCGAGCAGCAACCAGGAGACCGGGCAAATGTGGACAGGGTCAGTCAGAGATAGTATTTATCTGTTTATCTGAACCAATTCAAATCGCTGCTACCAGTTCGCCCAAACCATACCACCCCTGACTGTAACTAAAGGTAAAAAAGAAAAGAGAGCTCAAAAAGAAGGAAGATTGTCCATATTCATATCTTAGATAGTACTTATCTATTAAAATAGCCAGTGCAGTCTTTCTCTTTGTATTTTAAAGTTAATTTTCCATTCACTTCTTTCTCTTTTTGCATGGATTTGTAATCAGCTCTAAACTTTCACTTGCCACTTTCCTTTGGAGGGAGGAGAAACAATTCCATCCTCTCTGGAGTGCCACTTTCTTTTTATTAAGATTACTTCTGGGGAACTTATTTCTGGGTAGAAATTAGGCAATCCTTACCCAGATCCTATACACTGTTTCTCTTTCCGCTTCTTTTTCATGCTTTTTTCGTTTCGGCTTTCACAGCTTTGGTTCAGCCATTATGGCTGTCTTGTTCTCTGCCTGTCAGGAAGATTTCTCCAGATCAAGCAAAGGGACCTGTGTCCACTTGCGGTCTATGGAGAGCCGTTCCTATCTTCATCACCCCTATAGGGAGATTTTGGCCCCAAGGAACCTCCAGGGAGGTAGAAATCAGCTGAGCTTCACTGAGCCCTGCTAGCCACAACTGTCCCACTGTGACGTCATCACAGAAACTCTCGGTTTACCTCCAGAAATTGGGGATACTCCAACACTGGAGTTTTTTAAAGAAGAGATTGGACAGCCATTTTTGAAATGGTTAGGGTCTACTGCTCGAGCAGGAGGTTGGACTTGAAGACCTCCAAGGTCCCTTCTAACCCTGTTATTCAATGTTATTTGTCCTTAGTGATTTTGGAGGCAGAATTGCTGATTATCTTTCAAAACAATGTGTTTTATCGGTCGCAACAAATCACCGAAAAGAAATTAAGGCATGATCTCAATCCTGAAGCAGTTAATTCCATAATATGGAGATTGTGTAATAAAGAAGGGACTTACATTACTTAATTTAACCTTAAACAAACATAGAATTGCTTCAGGATAAATCCAACATTTACTAGGTTGATTCAACTAAGTATGGCAATAAACCAGGCAATAATGAATAGGTTTGACTGATAAAGTCAGTCGTGCCTCAGCTCGAGCTTTTAAGTAAGAATGACCCTTGACTTTAATGACCCTTGACTTTAATGAGAAAGGTATAGTTTACTAAAGGTTAAGCAGAATACAATAAAGCAAAGGCAAAACTGAAATTCGTATGCAAAAATCCCTAGTTTAACTTCCTCCCATCCCCCTTTCCATAGTTGGTCTCTCATTCTCCACATATTCAAATGAAGTTTTTTGGGAATTGTCACTTCAACCATGGACTGGCCAGGATGCAGTTGCATGCCATTCGCAAATGTCTGACTGTAAAGTTGTATCTCCAGAAGGTACAAAGAGTAGAGACCTTTTCCACCTCCTCTCCGGCTCCCTCTCCCCAAAGTACATGACAGACTGGTATCAAGCAAATACACAGCACAGGATTGAGGTGGCAGTTTTGAGAGATTTATTGATATTTACTTCTGAGAAAATAAACTATAAGAATTAAAAGTGTACATTTGTTCTATATAGCATAAAATCTTAAACTAATCAAAGACAACTAAATACATATTGATACTATTAATCATACCCTAATATTTTTCTTTAACTAATACTTCATAATCTGCAGTTTGAAGGACTTCTAACGATGAAGCCTTTCCTACCAAAATGCAGTGGCAAATCAGAGTAAATAACTATAACATGTTATCTTTTACACTAGGAAATAGGAAGTAGAAGTGTTTCCTAAAGGCAAAAAGGAATTGGGATTGCACTATTTGCAAAGTTGGAGTATGGAGTCATTCCATCTGGTGATTAGGAAAACTGGAAGTTTGACAGTATTTTCAACACTGTTCAGTGAGAAAAATATTTTTCATAGATCCTTCACTATTTCTTTGCCTTTTTATAAGAAGAGAAAAACAGAGTATGAAAATATTGACCGCCCAAAATATGGAAATTTGATCCATTACCTCACTTCAGGCAAAGATAGATCTGACAGATCCAAACTGTTTGAAGAAGACAATGCAGGGTGTCAACACAAACGTCCAGCTCATAAAACAGAAACAAAACTTCTTAAGCACTGGATTCCCTTAATGAATCCCAGGAAGACCTCTCAGCATCAGAAATTTCACCAGGGGCTGCCTTTGCAAATTGCTTTGCAAAAGAACAACTGGGCCAGCGTGACCTCTGTTCTGCACCAGACAATGCCTGTGGAACAGGCTGCTAACCTGGAGAAGTGGAAACAGCGAATGATTCTACAACTTGGGAAAGAAGGTTTTGAAGAATATGTTAAAAGTAGGTAAACAAATGCATTTAGATGTTATAATAATTCTAAATACATTTATTTATAATAAATGTAATACTTTATATTATACATTTAATTGCTCATAATTCAAATCTTTGCTTCTGTAACAATATTTTGCCATTTTCATTAAAAAAGCAGTCTAGATGCAGGCTTCTAGACAAAGCATGTACAATTTCCACTTTTTTAGTTTTTATATAGATGTATTCATTATATATTTTAATTTTTATTATATCTATAAAAAGTACCATATTTTTCAGAGTATAGGATGCACCAAGGTTTTGAAGAGGCAAATTAAAAAAAAGAGTAGGTAGGTAGATAGGGATAGAGAGGGAGAGAAAGAAAGGGAAATACAGTAGGTAGGTAGGTAGAGAGAGTAGGTAGGTAGGTAGGTAGGTAGGTAGGTAGGTAGGTAGGTAGGTAGGTAGGTAGGTAGATAAAGGGATAGAGAGAGAGAGAGAAATAGACATAGATAGATAGATAGATAGATAGATAGATAGATAGATAGATAGATAGATAGATAGATAGATAGATAGATAGATAGAT